GATTTAAAAAAACTCTGTGATAGTGTTTTGTAGTGATTTATCTGCACTTGCCAGCTCCTTGTGGTGCTTTTACTAAGTCCTACATCTGGACGTTGTGAACAAATTTATTTTACATGCTTCAGAATTAACCTTTTAAAGTCTTCAAATGTATTTCTTTAAACAATTTCCATCACGTATGATATTCAGTATTTATTTTTGTTGAAGGTGGGAGTCGTGAAGCAAACTGAAACTGCAGCATTAAAGGCTGTCGGGGACAACAAAAGTTCACTGTTCTCCCGGAAATTGACTGCTCTTTATACGAAATCTACACTTATTGGAGAAGATATCCTTTTTGGATAGGAATTTTTTCTCTTAAATGTTATGAAGGCTTTGTTTTAACTGACATTTTTTTTTAACTGTTCTTTGAATTGGTGCCTTTCTGATGAGATAAAGTGGTCTGGTTACCTTGATACTTGGTTAGTGACTACTGAAGAGGGAAGGATTGTAGTGGCTGGAAACAAGCATTTTCAAATGCAACGGTAAAAGGGGAGTTATCATACTTTAATAGCAAAAAAAGAGAGCCGGGTGAAAGATGATAGCAGGTCCACAATTGATTTGAGTTGCATCTTCCCTAGATTGGGCAATGGTTAGGTGCTTAGGGCCTATATGCTCTTCTGGAACTTTATGAGGTAAGACCTTAAAAAAAAAAAAAAAAGCTTATTAACTTCAGAATGTGAAAAGAAGACTACAAAGTTAGCACAGTTAATTGATTATAAAGGATAATAATGGGCCATCCTCATTAATTGTTAGCTTAATAAAAATTTTATTTATTAAATTTTTTTTTTTTAGAAAGTTGAGGGGAGGGGCAGAGAGAATCTTAAACAGACTTCACACTGAGCACGGAGCCGTATGTGGAGCTGGATCTCATGACCCTGAGGTCATGACCTGAGCGGAAACCAAGAGTTGGATGCTTAACTGACTGCACCTCTCAGGCGTCCCAAAAATTTTATTAGTTTTGAAAATAGATCGTAGGTGAAACTTTCTTGCTTTAATAGAATCCTTGGTGTATACAGTGATTGCCCCCCTAATTTTATGGCCATTCATGCATTAAAATGAATTACTTTTTTTAAAAATTTTTTAAAGATTTTATTTATGAGCGACAGAGAGAGAGGGGCAGAGACCCAGGCAGAGGGAGAAGCAGGCTCCATGTAGGGAGCCTGACATGAGACTCAGTCCTGGGTCTCCAGGATCACACCCTGGGCTGCAGGCGGCACCAAACTGCTGCGCCACTGGGGCTGCCCTAAAATGAATTACTTGAAACAAAATTATTCTAATAGCAAATTCATAAAATTCTATTTTTTAAAAACCAGGGGCTCCTGGGTGGCTTAGTTAAGCGTCTGACTCTTGATTTAGACTTAAGCCATGATCTCAGGGTTGTGAGAGCTAGTTTTGCATCAGGCTCTGCACTGGCTGTGGAGCCTGCTTAAGATTCTCTCTCCATCTGCCTCTGCCCCTCCCCACCTCTAAGAAAAAAAAATAATACAAAAACCCAACTAAATAACTGTTAGTCCCAACTAACTAAATGGGACAAAGATTCATTTTAAAAATGTTTTCTATGTGATGGAGTCGGGTCTCAGTAAAAAAAAAAAAAATAAGGATAAGGTCTTAAGAGATATAGTATAGTGTGAAAGCAATTTCTTTTATGGTTTATTACAAACCTACTTATTTAGAGGTCTGCTTAGCTTCTACCCAAAGTATGAGGATCATTTTGTTCCAGGAATATCATGAATAGAAACAGCTATTACTCAGAGTAGACTTCAAACCATTAACAGTTCTGTGCTATTCTGAGCTGATCAGGCCATAAGAAACTGGCAATTTTATTGCTTCTTTTGCCTGAACTTGAGTTTCTTACTGAAGCCTGCTTCTAAAATGGTACACCTCCCTGCTTCTTTTTGCTGTGGCCCTTACCTGCTGATACCTAAGTTGATTGTTTTCAGATTGACTTCTGAAAGTGTCCCAAATCAGGATTTATCCCTGAGAATTTAATTAATGGACTCACTATACACACACGCACAGTTTGTTTTCTTTTTTTATGTCTTTTAAAAATTTTCTTGCTCTTAGAGCTTTAGGCACTTTAAGGGAGGAAAGTAATTTTACTATTTTAGTGTATTCATGCTTTGACTTGTGGAATTAAGCATTTTGGGATTGTTAAGGATTCAAGTCTAGTATTATCTAAGTAAAGAAGATGATTAATATTGAGGCTTTCACAGAGGGTACTCTCCTAGGCCTTTCAGGAAGTGAGAAGATAATAGTTGTCCTTATAAACCTCATATCTTAGGGAGGATAAGTCATGTAACTATGATCAGTGTCAGAAGAATGAATGCTGTATGGAAGATTTTGCAGAGAGCAAAGACATCTGGGAAAATAAACTATTATTTTATAGCAGAAAGCAGTTAATATTAATGGGAATGTAGCATATTATTTTCTTTAATGATTATTACATGTGAATCCTTTAGTCAAGCTGGATGATGCTATAAATGTTGATGAGGTAATGACTGATACTTCTACCAGCTTCCTTCTGTGTATCTGTGAAAATGAGGAAAATGTTAAGGACAAAAAAAAGGGGAACATTTTCATTGGAATCGTGGTAAGTACTTTGTAGGTAAAGACAAATGATAGATATTCATGGTATCTCTGTGAGTACTCATGTGTGATTTACAATGAGACTATCTGATGTCGTGTGCCCTCAAATAATTGTACTAGAAAAACATTTTCCTTACAATTTTATATGTTAAATCACTAGTTAAAATTTTCTCTTATGGCTTCTTGGCACTCTGTGCTATGGAGACATCCAGGTACTACTTTCTGTCAATATGTTTTCGGAGTTTAGGGTTTAAGAGGGACACAGTGACAGGTGTGGGTATGGGATAAGAAACAACAGCGAAATAAAACACTAAGCCAACACATGCACAGATAGTGAAGGGTTTAACAAATTTCCTCTAGGGATTTAAAATTTAAACACATGATTATGGGATTATTGTATATAGATTTGGAGGAAAGGGAATGGTTAGGGGGAAATGATACTTGGTGAATACAAAACTCCATATTTAATTAACATTAGGAATACTTACAGCTATTTTTTTTTTGAGAAATACAATGTGTGAATTATAGTTTTATTGATTTTGCCCTCTAGCAATCTGTGAATAAATTCACCCATTTACAGACCTTTCTGGACTTGCTCAAAACCTTAAACTTTTTAGTACCCTTCAGAATTATTAGACTCCTTAGTTCTGTTGTAGGTGAAGCAAAAAACTAGGACTCCTTGCCTAAGTAATAAGTAATTCTCTTTGTGTTTTCCAACTTTTGCAGTCAACTGTAATATCAGCAAAAATTCTTACAACCCAGATGTCTCCAGAGTACTTCTTAATACCTTATTCTGGTTGGATAACTCTGTGCTAACTTGATATTTGCTTAGCCAATAAACCTTTGTCTTGGGGAGTTAGCATTACTGTTGAGTGGCTCTAAATGATTTCTTTTTTATCCTTGAGAAGTACTTTTTATCTAGCCACAGGCAGTTGAGTCTATTTACGAATAGTAAGATTATTTGTGTTTAAGCTTTAACATATATAATGTGCTATTTTATATTTACCCAAAACTGAGTCTAAAGAATAGAGTTAAGGGGCACCCGGCTGGCTCAGTGTTTGAGCATCTGCCTTAGGCTCAGGTCGTGATCCCCAGGTCCTGAGATTTGAGTCCTACATCAGGCTTCCCAGGTTGCCTGCTTCTCCCTCTGCCTGTGTCTCTGCCTCTCTCTGTGTGTCTCTCATGAGTAAATAAAATCTCAAAAAAAAAAAAAAAAGTTGATAGTATACAACTCCTGTTTTGTGCTTAGTGCTTGCTGCCGGTGTTAATCATTGTGTTTGAATTGGTATTTGAGAAAATGAGAAATGAAAGTTTGCTTCTCAGGAATTTTCTTGGGTCCTGTCCTTGAATTCAGTGACCAGTTTTGGACTGATGACATATAAAGCTCTGAGTCCAGGCTGCACCCCTGTCTTGAGCTCTAGCCTCCTGCATGCAACTTTTTGTTGGGCATGGCACTCAGAATTTGTCCTCACTCCTCAAACTCAGTATGGCTGCAATGGATCTCTTTTTTTTTTTTTTACCCTAAATGCTTTTTTTTTTTTTTTTTTTAAGATTTTACTTATTCATTCATGAGAGAGAGAGAGAGAGAGAGAGAGAGAGAGAGAGAGAGTCAGAGTCAGGTTCCATGCTGGGAGCCCGATGTGGGACTCCAGGATCATGCCCTGGGCCAAAGGCAGGCGCTAAGCCGCTGAGCCACCCAGGGATCCCCCTTCGATGCTATTCTTGCTGGGTTTTTCCCTGTTGTGATGTCACATGTTCCTCTGTCACTACCTAGGAGTTACCTTTTGGGTAACTGGCAGTCTGAAATCAAAGGTTTTAGTGTTGCTAGTACTACAGCGATTAGGCCCTCTACCATTACTCCAGGCAGTGCACTGTTTTATACAGACTAACTTCAGGTTTATTAGTGTCACATATCATATAGTGATAGATGTTGTGGGCCTTGTAATATAGACCATTTTCTGATTTAAAAAAGGCAAAGGGGAATTTATACTTCTTTTTTTTTTTTTTTTTAATTTTTTTTTTTTTAAATTTATTTATGATAGTCACAGAGAGAGAGAGGCAGAGACACAGGCAGAGGGAGAAGCAGGCTCCATGCACCGGGAGCCCGACGTGGGATTCGATCCCGGGTCTCCAGGATCGCGCCCTGGGCCAAAGGCAGGCGCCAAACCGCTGCACCACCCAGGGATCCCGGAATTTATACTTCTGTAGCTAACTTTTGTAAATGTTTGGTTTGTAGACTGGGAGATTATGTATACTACTATATTTATAATCCAACTATCTGGGCATTAGAGAAGGCCCCTCAGATAGAATTAGGAAAATTCCTTGAGCCAAAAATGAGGGACTTCAAAAAAAAATCATAAAATATTCATAAGGAGCCGCGCGTCGTGCCCTGCGCTGCCCAGACTAGCGAACAATACAGTCAGGATGGCTAAAGGTGATCCCAAGAAACCAAAGGGCAAGATGTCTGCTTATGCCTTCTTTGTGCAGACGTGCAGAGAGGAACATAAGAAGAAAAACCCGGAGGTTCCTGTCAATTTTGCTGAGTTTTCCAAGAAGTGCTCTGAGAGGTGGAAGACAATGTCTGGAAAAGAGAAGTCGAAATTTGATGAAATGGCCAAGGCAGATAAAGTGCGCTATGATCGGGAAATGAAGGATTATGGACCCGCTAAGGGAGGCAAGAAGAAGGACCCTAATGCCCCCAAAAGACCACCGTCTGGATTTTTCCTGTTCTGCTCGGAATTCCACCCCAAGATCAAATCGACAAACCCTGGAATCTCCATTGGAGATGTGGCGAAGAAGCTCGGTGAGATGTGGAATAACTTAAGTGACAGCGAGAAGCAGCCTTACAACAACAAGGCAGCCAAGCTGAAGGAGAAGTATGAGAAGGATGTCGCTGACTATAAGTCTAAAGGGAAGTTTGATGGCGCAAAGGGTCCCGCTAAAGTTGCCTGGAAAAAGGTGGAAGAAGAGGATGAAGAAGACGAAGAGGAAGAAGAGGAGGAGGAGGAGGAGGAGGATGAATAAAAAAAACTGTTGATCTGTCTCCTTGTGAATACCTTAGAGTAGGGAGCGCCGTCATTGACACCTCTCTTATTCGAGGCGTGTCTGTTGCCCTCGTTAGGTTTAATTACACAATTGGGTCATGGTCATATTGTAGTTTCTCAAAGTGCTCTAGAAATCGTCAGTGGTTTACATGAAGTGGCCATGGGTGTCCGGAGCACCCTGAAACTGTATCAAAGTTGTACATATTTCCAAAACATTTTTAAAAATGAAAAGGCTCTCGTGTTCTCCTCACTCTGTGCACTTTGCTGTTGGTGTGACAAGGCATTTAAAGATGTTTCTGGCATTTTTTTTTTTTTAATTTTTAAGATGGTGTTAAACTATATGGTTATTGGCTAGAAATCCTGAGTTATCAACTGTACATATCGATAGTTTGTAAAAAAAAAAAAAAAAAAAAAAGAGAGAGAGAGAACAAAACAACTGAGACAAACTCTTGATGCTCCTTGCTCAGCGTTGAGGCTGTGGGGAAGATGCCTTTGGGAGGGGCTGTAGCTCAGGGTGTGCACTGTGAGGCTGGACCTGTGGACAGTGCAGTGGACATCCATTTAGCTTCAGGTTGTCTTGTTTCTGTATATAGTGACCTAGCATTCTGCTGCCATTCTTAGCTGTGGAAAAGGGGGAGTCAGCTGGCATGAGAAGTGTTTGGATCCTTTTTAGTTGAGTGCGGTAGTTTTAAACTGTTTTTAAACAAACTGTAGAACTCTTCATTGTCAGCAAAGCAAAGAGCCACTGCATCAATGAAAGTTCAAGAACCTTCTGTACTAAACACGACTTGCAACGTTCTGTTATTTTTTTTGTATGTTTAGAATGCTGAAATGTTTTTGAAGTTAAATAAACAGTATTACATTTAAAAAAAATAAAATATTCATAAGAAAAAATTCATAAGACAGAGTGCATAATTAGTAATTACAGTAATGTGAAACAACCCCCCAGGTCAGGAACTATAATACTGCCTAGAGAAGGACTCCCTTTAGCAGAGGTAATTGTAATCCAGACTTTTATGATAATAATGTCCTTGCTTTTAGTTCTAGTTTTACCACCTTCAACTATATACAAATGTAAATACATTGTATCTTTTTGGGTCTTCTTTTGTTTACAAACTACGATTTGTATACTATTTGTATAGGAGATTTCTTTGCATGTGTTGTTGTAGTAGTTTTTTCATTGTCATTGCTATATTTCCTTTTATGATTTACACTTTATTCATTCTTGATAGATATGTTCTTTTTAGTTTTGGTTTTATAGAGAATGCTTTTTATAAACCTTTTTGTGCATATCTTGTGGTATACACACCTCTGGGGTATATACCTAGGGGAGGATATGCTAAGTTATGAGTATGGGTGTTCACAACTTTCCTCAAAAATACCAAATACGTTTTCCCAAGAGGCTGTGTCAGTTGACTTTCTGTCGGCAGTGTTTGAGTGTAGGGATGAGTGTAGCTAATTACCGTCAGTAACTAGCGCCTTGCATTTCTTAAGCATTAGCAGTAGACAAGAGTGGAGTGAGCCACATGAACCTTGCCTCCACCACTTTATCAGGGTGTGATAAAGTGAGCCTTGCATAGATTACTTAACTTTTTACCTCTTCCAAGCCACGATTTTTTCGAAAAAAAAAATCGATTTGGAAGCAGAGCTTGTCTTTGTGATGGCTTGGGTTGATAGAGAGTAGCTTTAGTTTTCATGGTTATTTCCCTGGATATAACTTGGGATTCATTCAAAATTTTTTATTTTTGTTATTGGTTTTTTTTGTTTGTTTTTGTTTTTGTTTTTTTTTTTTTTTGCAAAAATTAGACTTTCATTGATTAATTTTATGTAACGAAATAGAAACTTCTGTGATGGCCATGTTACTAGCAACATGTTACTTTTAGTGCTGGCAAGTGCTATTTGTATAGTACTGTATAATTTATAAAGCATTCACATTTGTTCTATGATTTGACCGTTGCAGTTACCTGAACATGAGAGTAGGCCGATTTCTTCCCACTTACAGAGGAGGAAACTGAGGGTTTGGGGATTTGTCAGAGTCATTTTGTCAGGTTTGTTGAATCTAAGACTTAACTCAGAGTATCTCTAAAGTTCCTCTAGCATAGCTTAGATATAGGTGAGTCTGACTTATTACATAAGAATTTTGGAAACTACACAGGTATTTAAACACTTTAGAAATGGACTACATACTAAAGAGTATATCCTCTTTACTGTTTCCATGTTTATAATGTGTTGTTATAATTGGGAAAAATATTTTTTCTGTGTCATCGTGTGTTTGTTTTTAGGGAGTGCAGCCTGTCACAGGTGAGGTTGTGTTTGATAGTTTCCAAGACTCTGCTTCCCGTTCGGAGCTAGAAACTCGGATATTGTGCCTGCAGCCAGTGGAGATGCTGCTTCCCTCACGCTTGTCAGAACAGACAGAGACACTTGTCCACAGAACCACAGCTGCTAGGTAAGTTGGCACATCACAGGAAAATAACACTGATTTTGAAATTCACGTTTATTTCCCAAATTGGTACTTCCTAAACTTACTAAGATTGTTAAAAAGTTTTTACTTAGAAAAATATTTTAACAGTAGTCATGGAAATTAAAAAAAAAATTTTACCCATATCAGCTTAAATGTAGGACTTTTTTTTTTTTTTAAAGATTTTATTTATTTATTCATGAGATACACAGTGAAAGAGAGAGAGGTAGAGACACAGGCAGTGGGGGAAGTAGGCTCCCCACAAGGAGCCTGATGTGGGACTCAGTCCCGGATCCCAAGATTATGCCCTGAGCCGAAGGCAGACACTCAACCACCGAGCCGCCCAGGCATCCCAATGTAGGACTTGTAAAGGGTTTTAATATTAGTTGGTAATTAATCTTCAGTTTTTGGAGATGATTTAGAGTTTATTTCTTATAAAGGTTAAATAATTTTGAAAATACTTTATGCTGCAAGTTTTAATTTGTGGTTGTGTCTAGAAATTTTAAATATTAGATCTAAGGTCACACTTCTTATTTATGAGGCGCTATGCTAAGCACTGTGGCATACGGAGAGGATGTGGCTGTGGTCCATGTCTGGGAGAGTTTATAATCCAGGAGAGGCAGATGTGTACATACCTAACTGGATTCCCAAAGTGACAAACATGAAGGTACATTTTTGGGACCATTCCATACTGCCACCTAGAGGAGTGTCAAGGGAGAAAAGATGCTGGAATGGTGGGCTGGGGCTCCATTGGAGAGGATTCTATATTGAGAAATTTGGACTTTAGACCAGGCAGGAGAGCCCATAAAGATTGTTATTTAGTAGGTTGACAAATCAACTAGGAAATCAAACTACTTGATTAAGTGGAGTTTCATGTATTTTTTTATTCTTTAAGAGTATTCTGTTTTCATTTGAATTGAACTTCTAGGGCAGCCCAGGTGGCTCAGCGGTTTAGCGCTGCCTTCAGTCCAGGTCGTTTTCCTGGAGATCCGGGATTGAGTCCCATGTCGGGCTTCCTGCATAGAGCCTGCTTCTCCCTCTGCCTGTGTCTCTGCCTCTCTCTCTCTCTGTGTCTCTCATGAATAAATAAATAAAATCTTAAAAAAAATGAATTTCTAAGTAGCTTTCATAATAATATTTTTTTTGGTTATAATATTAATCCATGATCATTTAGGAAAAACTAGGAGTTACCCAGAAAAATGGAAGAGTTAAAAATAAGTAAAATCCTATAACACAGAAATAATTACTCTTAAATTTGGTGTGATTTTCCTATGCATGTATATCACTTTTTTTTGGTTTATAAGCTTGGATTCATGTTGCAAAATCATTTTGTGTCCTTTTCTTTTACCTAAAATTCCCCATACTTTTTAATGGAAAATTTTACTTTATTTTTTAAATTTTATTTTATTTTATGGAAAATTTCAAACATACACAAAATTATACAGAATAGTGTAGTGAACCCCCATGAATCCATCAACCAGCTTCAGCATTGCTCAGCTCAGCCAATTTTATTTCATCCATATCCCTACCACCCCTCTCCTTGAATTATTTATTTGGAACAAATTCTAGAGGCCATCATTTCATCTACTAATATTTCAGTGATTTCAATGGGTAGTCAGTGAAAACAAAGTGATTACATACCATTCAGTCATGTAAATGGATAATTTATCAATTTCCCTTTTGTTATGTTGCATTCATCTTTTTCAGTTTTACGGATATAACTGTGATAAATATCCATTGATAGAAATACTTGTTTGCATTTCTAAGTATTTCCTTAAGCTAAATTCCTAAAAATGGAATTGCTGAGTCACAGGGTATAAATACTTACAAAGCTTTTGGTAGCTTGCTAGAATGGGTAATTTCAGTTTATACTTTTATCACTACAATATTGGAGCATTGGTTGAACCTTGCTAACACTGGATCATTTAAACAGTCTCTGCCATTGGATAGATGAAAAATTTTGCAACAAGTCCCCATATTTTATTTTTAAAAAATATTTTATTTATTCGAGAGAGAGCACACAGGTGGGGGGAGGGGCAGAGGGAGAGGGAGAAGCACACTTCCTGCTGAGCAGGGAGCCTGATGTGGTGCTCAATCCCAGGACCCTGAGATCATGACCTGAGCTGAAGGCAGATGCTTAACCAGCTGAGCCACTCAGATCCCCTTATGGTCCCCTTATGTCACTTTCCTGACAGTGAATTAAAACTTGAATAATTAAAAGTGAGACAGTTGACTAATAAGAGGTGCTGCTTTTGAACACCTAAAAAAAATTAATAAAATCTGTAAAAAATTTTATCGTTTTCTAAAATTATTACCAATATTTTATGTCTTTGGTTTTCTTTTTTTTTCATTTTTTTTAAAGATTTTTATTTATTCATGAAAGAGACAGAGAGGCAGAGACACAGGCAGAGGGAGAAGTAGGCTCTATGCAGGGAGCCCGATGTGGGACTTGATCCCAGATCCTGGAATTACTCCCTGAGCCGCAGGCAGATGCTCAACCGCTGAGCCACCCAGGCATCGATCCTGAATCGACAGGATCACACCCTGGGCTAAAGGCAGCGCTAAACTGCTGAGCCACCGGGGCTGCCCTCATTTTTCTTTATAACTGTGTATATATTCAATTGACTTAGGTATAACAGATTAAAGTCAGTTAGTTGAGTCAACACTTCCATTTTTCTTTGGGTCTGAGATGAGTCTCTTGTAAGCAGCACATTGTTGGTTGGGCCCTGGGGTTTTTGTTTTGTTTTGTTTTTATCCATTCTGATACCCTGTGTCTTGATTGGAGCACTTAGTCCATTTACATTCAGAGTAATTATTGATAGATGCGAATTTAGTGCCATT